AATAAGCGTCTTCTATACACTATACACTATAGAGGCACTAGAAGAAATATCTTGACAGTAAAATAAATGTCTCCGGATGGTATCAAAAGGAAGCTGCACAGCTACTTGCTTGGGATGCTCTGGCTAGACTGAGATATTTGACCTGAGGGCACAAAGATCCCCTTTCAACTCTCTGATTCCATTATGCTATCCTTTCCTCCCCATCACTCACTTGAATCCACAATGCCCTTGGGCATCTTCTGGAGCTCCGGCCCAATCTCATCGAGTTTTCCTTCCACGGAGCGGTTGCGTTTCTTGGACACTTTCTCCAAGGCCCGGCGCAGCCGATGGGCGTCCAGCTCACCATGCGGGGAAGAGAAGCTGCGACCACACAGGGCAGCGCGGGCCAGGGCCTTCTTCTTCCGTACCAGCTCCTCAGAGCTTGCAGCCACCGACACCTTCAGGAAAGGCAAGTGGAAGAGGGTCAGGTTGGGAAAAGTCTACAACTGCTCTCTCAAAAAATGGAAAACATGCAAGTCCTTCCAACTTCTGGTCACCTTAAAGCAAACCTTCTTGGCAAGATTTGTTCAGAAGAGGTTATATGGTTCTCTGTTCTGATCACAATGTCTCTCTATGCCTAAAGTTCCTCTTGTGTCATGTGTCACAAACACATACAGGAAATCTACACCTTGGTTTGTAGGAGGTGTTCGCTTTCTTCTTCTCACCACTGCTGTTGTTCTGCTGAAATTTGTTTACAGATTGATCAAACCTATTATAAGTACTGATTAGCATGTTAACAATGTGTGCTACTGGGTTGTTGTAGGTTTTTTTTGGGCTATATGGCCATGTTCTAGAGGCATTCTCTCCTGACGTTTCACCTGCATCTATGGCAAGCATCCTCACTACCTTGGACTGGCTAATTGCATAAGGAAACCCTTATCTGGGATTATTTTCCACCTGCCTTCTTATGGCTAGCTGAATTCACTTCCAGGTGTTCTCTACTTGATAATACAAAGTGAGGTATTTAGGGGAAAATATTATCTATCATTTTATGAAACAGAGAAATGCATTTGCAGTGGTTGCTAGATTTGGAAGGAATTCTTACAAGCCTTACCTTAGTACCAGCACCAGTCTTATCCTGGGGGAGTGGGGCGGATTTGGTGGAGGAATTGCAGAGGGAGACACTCTTCTGGCCTTGCTGAGAGCTGTTCTCAAGGGCTAAGGAGCTTCCCTCTGGAGGAACATCCCTGGAACCCGTGGATTCGCTGCTGGTGGAGCTGTGAGAGAACAAGCCCTGGCTCTGGTCGGTGCTGACAGAGCAGTGAGTGAGCACATACTGCTCCTGGATGTAGGAGGGCTGGTAGATCCGTTTCCAAATGTCTCCGCCAGACACAAGATCCCCACCTGCCAGGGAGAAGGGATTGGGGTGACTACCATGGAGAACTTTGTACGCTATCCATCTTCCTTACACCCTCCAACATTTCACATATCAAAAATGGGACATGTGTGGTCAAGCAACACTTAAGTGTGGTTAACATGGCAAAAGTTATTAATGAGGAGGAACAGACAAGATGGAGTGTTTGTAGCCATTTATTTTTGCCTGAGGCCTCTTCTACACTGCCATATATTCCAGATTTTTTATCATGTCAGAAGAGACTTGAGAAACAAAAGTTACTTCTCCTAAGAGAGAATTGTCCGTCTGCAGTGACATTGCTCAGGAGACACCCAGATGTGTTACCATCCTGTGGGAGGCTTCTCTCAAGTCTCTGCATGGGAAGCTGGGGCTTACAGACAGGAGCTCCCCTGCTCCTCCGATCTGAACTGCCAACTTGCAGATTCAAATCACCGACCTTCAGGTCAGCAGTTCAGCTAACACAAGGGTTTAAACAACTTAGCCACCATGACTCCTATAATCTATATTATCAAAGCAGATAATCCACATTATCTGTTTTGAACTGGATAATCTGTATTTTATATGCCAGTGTAGAAGAGATCTGAGTCTACTTGAAAGGGCACAAGCCTGCTCCCTTCTATCACCGCCCCTCTGCAGTGTTAACTGAAAGCAACTCAATTTGCAGTAATTAGAGTAATATGAGGAGAAAGGGGGAGGTGGGAGAAAGAGAAAGTTTTGAAACAGCTGAAAAATGGAACAGAGGGTTAATATAATAACCACTTTTAAATACCTGAAAGTATATGATGTTGCAGGTGGAGCATGCTTGTTTTCTGCTACTCCAGACTAGGACAGTGGATACAACTTACAAGGATAGAGTTTCCACTAAATATTAGGAAGAATGTCACAATGGCCACAGTTGTTTGACAGTGGAATAGACTAACAACAACAAGAAGTATGGATTGTTGATGTTGCAATCCCAGGTGACAGCAGGATTGAAGAGAAACAACTGGAAAAGCTTACACGATATGAGGATTTAAAGATCGAACTGCAAAGACTCTGGCACAAGCCAGTCAAGGTGGTCCCAGTGGTGATCGGCACACTGGGTGCAGTGCCTAAAGACCTTGGCCTGCACTTAAACACAATCGTCGCTGACAAAATTATCACCTGTCAGCTGCAAAAAGCCACCCTACTGGCATCTGCACACATTATTTGCCAATACATCACACAGTCTTAGACACTTGGGAAATGTCTGACGTATGATCCAATACAACAGCCAGCAGAGTGATCTTTTTTGCTGTGTAGTAATCTTGTTGTCGAATACTAATACTAATAATAATAACTTTATTCTTATACCCCGCCACCATCTCCCCAAAGGAACTTGGGGTGGTTTACATATGGGACAGAGTGTCCACGAGACATAAATACAAATCAATCCATTAAGGCAAAACACAATTAAAAGAAGAGTATAATAAAATACTTTATGCATAAATATATATATAAACATATGCTACCTCAGAAAGTACTGAACTCTCTTTTGGAAAGGGTGGACTCTATTGGAATTGGTGTAGCTGTGGATTCTGACATACCACTTTTGAACAAGATTTTTTTTTCCTGTCTCAGGAGCAACTTAAGAAACTGTCAAGTCACTTCTGGTGTGTGAGAATTGGTCATCTGCAAGGACGTTGCCCAGGGGATGCCAGATGTTTTGATGTTTTACCATCCTTGTGGGAGCTTCTCTCATGTCCCATGGGGAGCTGGGCTGACAGAGGGAGCTCTCCCTGGATTCGAACCTCTGTCCTGTTGGTCTTCTGTGCCACTGGGGGCTCCACTTTGCACACCATGGCCCTCGCAGGCACCTCGAACTCAATGATTCTCCTTCAAAATCAGCATTCCTCAACTTAGCACCCTGAAATGGACATGCTGACAATCCTCATCACTCCCAACTAGCACAACCAAAGACCATACTGTTTGTGGCTAATTGGGAGATATTATCCAGTCCATCTGGAGAGCGGAAGGATACGGAGGAATATCCACTGTGAATGCCAGTCCTGCCAACCCCATAGGTGTACTCACTTTTCAGAGACTCTTCAGTGCCCCCAGCAGAGAACTCCAGAGATATCTCACGAGAAATTTCATGGAGGGCTTTACAGATGTCTGGACTCTCCCCAACCGGCTGTGGCTGGGCCTCTTCCTGCCCGAGCGCTTCGTCCTGGGACGGGAACACTGAACCTGCAGAGCCCCGAGAGAGACTCCGACACACCTGTTCTCTGCCCTGGGGGAAAGGACCGACAAGTAAGAAAGCTTCTATCTTAAGAAGTAGGTTTACATCCATGAAATCTCATCTATCTATACCAGTGTTTCTCAACCTGGGGGTCGAGACCCCTGGAGGGGTCACAAAGGGGTGTCAAAGGGGTCACCAAAGACCATCAGAAAACACAGTATTTTCTGTTGGTCATGGGGGTTCTGTGTGGGAAGTTTGGCCCAATTCTCTTGCTGGTGGGATTCAGAATGTTCTTTGATTCTAGGTGAACTATAAATCCCAGCAACTACAACTCCCAAATATCAAGATCTATTTTCCCCAAACTCCACCAGTGTTCACATTTGGGCATATTGAGTATTCATGTCACCTTTGGTCCCGATCCATCATTGTTTGAATCCACAGTGCTCTCTGGATGTAGTTGAACTACAACTCCAAAAGTCAAGGTCAATGCCCAACAGACCCTTGAGCACGGCTGTTGTGAGCTGACAGCCCACCAAACACTTCCAGTATTTTCTGTTGGTCGTGGGAGTTCTGTGTGCCAAGTTTGGTTCAATTCCATTGTTGGTGGAGTTCAGAATGCTCTTTGATTGTAGATGAACTATAAATCCCTGCAACTACAACTCCCAAATGTCAAAATACCACCCCCCAACCCCACCAGCATTCAAATTTGAACGTATAGAGTATGATGGATTTGGACTACACTTGGCACACAGACCCAGCATGGCCAACTATAAATACTGGCTGGGTTTGGGGTTGATTGCCCTGGGAATTGTAGTTCACCCTTATCCAGAGAGTACTGAACCCAGTCAATGACAGATCTGGGCCAAACTTGGCACACAGACCCAACATGGCCAACTATAAATACTGGCTGGGTTTGGGGGTGATTTCCCTGGGAATCTGGGAGTTGTAGTTCACCCTTATCCAGAGAGTACTGAACCCAGTCAATGACAGATCAGGACCAAACTTGGCACACAGACCCAACATGGCCAACTGTACATACAGGCCTGGTTTTGGGAGGATTGGCACACGATTCTGGGAATTGTAGTTCACCCACATCGGCTTTTCCCTAATAAATAGTGTTACTAATTAACTAAATGATATTACCTAACACCCCAAAACAAACAATGCCTTTTTCAAATAACCCGGGCACCGCTGGGTACCCAAGCTAGTGCAGAAATAAAATCCAGTTGTTCTGAAAGATACTGTCACATTTTTTCTACCTCTCCTTTCCCCCTTTTTATCCCTCCTTCTTACAAGGAGAAAAGAAATGTTAGGATCAAGTCACAGTCCCTATCCCACCTGCCCAAATTACAGGACTAGCAATGTTTTTTGAAGCCTCGTTGCAGAAAGTTTCCACTATGTAAGAGTGCTGCATATTTCCCATAGTAGTGAGAGTGGCCATATTTTAAAGGAACAGAGACTCAACTGTTGGCTTCTTGTCTCGGAAGCTGGCAATGTGGTAAAGGGTGCAGTAGCTGATGAGACGGTCTCCTGGATATAGGACTGCAATCTCGTTGGGGGACAGCAGGGCCTCCATGGTGTCCGGGACATACCAGTCGATCGTGATGTCGCTCACGGCAGGCTCAATGGCCTTCTTCAAAGACTTGATCAGCTGAGGAGGAGGAGGAACCAGAGATGTCCAGCACTTGAGTCACGTGACACATTACACGATGCAACACGATTTTTGTTCCTGGGTTATTAATGTCATTTCCTAATTGATTCTATCATAAAAACATGGGACAAGTTTATTAAACTGCAAAAAAAACTTGTTTTTGTGGGAGATCTAGCAGCACATTTTGCTATAGTTTTTCTCATTGATTCTCAACCAATTCAACATATGTATTCTCGAAGGCTTTCATGGCCAGAATCAATGGGTTGCTGTGAATTTTCCAGGCTGTATAGCCACATTCCAGAAGCATTCTCTCCTGGTGTTTTGCCCACACCTACGGCAGGCATCCTCAGAAGTTGATATTTTACATTGCCCTATCTCCCAGTGTTTTAAAATTTTAATCCTTGAATTTGGCCCTGCCCATGGTGATCATTTTAATGTTGTAATGTTTTGATTTTATATTGTTGTGTCACTTATATACATTGGTTTTGTATTTTAGGTTATTTTATTTTTGATTTTCTGTTTTGTTTTTGTGTTATATTGTGTATATTGTATTGATGGGCTAGGCCTCCTGTAAGCCGCCCCGAGTCCCCTTGGGGAGATGGTGGCGGGGTATAAATAAAGTATTATTATTATTATTATTATTATTATTATTATTATTATTATTATGTGGGCGAAATGTCAGGAGAAAATACTTCTTGGAACATGGCTAAACTCACAGCAACCCATCAATTCAACTAGTTTATGGCAGGAAATTTAATGCATTTGTCTTGCATGTTTTTACCTACATGTCTTTCTACTTGCATGTCCTTCGATCTTGTAAGCTGCCCTGAATACCAGCTTTGATAAAAGGCAATTCCATACATGACTCCACACAGTACGATGCAGGCATAGCATTGACCATTAATGATCTGGGTGGCAACCTGTGTTGGACGGGGTTGCATTCCCCCTGAAGTCACAGGTCCGCAGTCTGGATGTCCTTCTGGACTCATCACTTATGGTTGAGGCTCAGGTGTCGGCGGTGGCCGGGAGGGCCTTCACACAATTAAGACTCGTGCACCAACTGCGACCGTACCTCGTGAAGGCGGATCTGGCCGGGGTGGTCCATGCCTTAGTCACCTCCAGATTGGACTACTGTAATGCACTCTACGTGGGGCCACCTTAAACGGCCTGGAAATTCCAGTTGGTTCAACGGGCGGTGGCCAGGTTGTTAACGGATGCTCCTTACAGGGAGAAGTCATCCCTCCTGTTTTGAAGCCATTGTTCCGTGTCCTAGTCTTGTTGCTACTAAGAGGTTGCAACGTACTTTATCTAAGTTGTTGTAAGGATCAATGTTGTTTGTGCTAAAACTTTAAGTTGCTGTAAGGTTCAAGGCTGTTTGTGCTACAGCTGTTTCAGTTAATTGAAGAGTTAATTGAGAGTGTTATTTTCATGTGTATAAAGATAGCTACTGTGTGTTTAGTTCTTTGCCATTGTGCGTTTATGCTATTGTGCATCTATGCCTCTGTGCCATTCTGCTTTGTGTAAGCCGGGGACTATGCTGCAGATGTCCTGCGAAGACACAGCCATGAGAAGAGGACAAGGATTCCTGCTTATCTCAGCTGAGTAGTGATATCTCTCAGAAGATATTGATCCATGTTACTTTTGTGGAAACAGTAATCCTGCTATTTTGTTTTTGTATGCTGCCAATACTACAATATTTTTCTTTTCTACTTTAAGCCGAAGTCTCGTGTGTTTTTCTTTTATGAGCCAATTCATCACACACACAGTTAACTGGGCTAGAGTCAATCTGCATGCTACTCATGCTAACGCCATTCATTTTCCGGTCCCAATTCAAGGTGCAAGTTCTTACCTACAAAACCCTGAACGGTTTGGGACCCGCCTACCTCCGTGACCGCATTTCTGTGTACGAACCCACACAATCCCTTCGATCATCTGTAGAGGCCCTACTCGCGGTCCCACCTCCATCGCAGGTGCAATTGGTGGGGACGAGGGAGAGGGCTTTCTCGGTGGTGGCCCCTCGACTCTGGAAGTCACTCCCCAAGGACATCGGGCATGCCCCAACCCTGGCAGTCTTTAGGAGGAGCCTGAAAATGTGGTTGTTCCCATGTGCCTTCCCAGAATAAGGAAACTCCCAGCAATATGTCCTCGAAATGCACTTTACTATTGATCTAGGAATGTCTGCACGCCCCATCCCTCTCTGAAAGCTCTATCCTAGTTCATATTTCATCTATTCATGCTCAGCATTATTCTTAAATTTTAATTATTACATTTGGCCCAGCCATAGGTTTTTAAACATCGTTGTGTTACTGTTAATGTTTACTGTTTATTTTTTTGTTATGAGTTTTATTTTATTGTTTGTATTAATTGTTGTTATTGCTTTTATCATTGATGTATTGTGGGCTCGGCCTCATGTAAGCTGCACCGAGTCCCTCGGGAGATGGTAGCTGGGTATAAAGAAAGATGATGATGATGATGATGATGATGATGATTATTATTATTATTATCTAAGCCATTGCAATGAAGAGCACATACCTTGGGTTGCAGTCTTTCTCCAGGATTTAGGAATTCAGCTCGACCTCTGCTGACTTTGGCCAATCCTTGCAGGAGTCTATGGCAGGCCCCAGAGCCCAGGCCAAAGGTGAAACACCTGGAGGAAAGAAATCCACAGGTTTCAGAGAGAGCAGGTCTGTTTCAAGATGAATTTCCTCTTCTCCACTGCTATTCTTTGTGTGCCATATCTTATTATGACTGTAAGCCTGAGGGCAGGGAACTTTCAGATTAATGATTTGCAAGCTATCCTGTCAGGCTATTTGACTGAAGGGTAGGATATAAGTACTTTCAATATTATTTTTACTTTTTATTGATTTCTCAGAACAAGAGGCAACATCATGAAGAGCTGCATGACAGGCAGAAGCCAACAGCTTAGGTCTTTTGCATTATCGCATGCACTTAAAAGTGTAATTTTCAGTTCAATTCAGCTAGCAAGGCACTATTATTATTAATTATCATTATTATTAAACTTTATTTGTACCCCGCTAGCATCTCCCGAAGGACTCGATGCAGCTTACAAAGGCCAAGGCCTCAACACAACAACAACAGACAATAACAATACAAAGCAAAATAAAAACATAAGCAATAACAAAACATTACACTATTACGCAATAAAACCAGGGCCGGGCCAATGATGGGTACAGGTTAAAAGTGCTGGGTGTGAGAGGTGGTATGCTGGAATTCTGGGTAAGTGCAATGTGCAGAGAGTCTTAACTCTAATAAAGTGCTTCTGGGACCTAGTACTGGGGTTATCCTATTCCGGAAAGGCACATTGGAATAGCCAGGTCTTCAAGTTCTTCCTAAAGACTGCCAACGTGGGTGATAGTCTAATGCTTTTGGGGAGGGTGTTCCAAAGTTGGGGGGCAACCACAGAGAAGGCCCTGTCCCTCGTCCCCACCAAACGCGCCTGTGACGCAGGTGGGATCGCGAGCAGGGCCTCTCCGGATGAACGAAGGGAGCGCGTGGATTCATATACGGAGATGCGGTCATGCAGGTAGGCAGACTCAGATTAGGATGGGCAACTGGATCAGAACCATGAGTTGGTTTTCTGAACCTGGGATCCTTTAAGGGATATATACCATATCTATATCAATATATATCCAATTCTGTGTTTTAAAAGTAGGAATGTATGTTAAATGCTTGCAAGGGGGAGCTTAGAGTTGGATCAAAGCTGATTGGTTGGGCTCCACTACGGAGCTAGCTGAGCCTGGGAGTTTTGGCAACAGTTACATGTTTAAGTTTTCTGTGCAGGAGCTTGCCAAGACAATTTTGTATTTTGGCTTCTTGGCTGCTGGAAGAAGATCCTTCACATGGACACCTAAGGACTATTTGAATCTCACTCACTGTCAAGACAGTGTGTGAATTGGTAAAGATGTGAACTACGTGTGATTTTCATTCCACCACACTTCGAGAAATTTAAACAGTGAATTTCCATTGCTGTATACTTATGGAGGGGGGTATTCCTCTCTTCCCTTTTGGCCAAAAAAAAAAGGTAGTCCATGGAGTAGAAGTGTTAAGGGCCAAAACAACATCCTTGGGAGGCTGCATATGGCCCAAAGGCCTCACTGTGCCCAACCCTGGCTTCGATCTGCCACTCTCGCTCATGCTTAGTCCCCAGACTGGTAATATGAGAAGTATAATATGGATGCCCTGGCCCTTGAGCGCTCCAGCTGGAGGTCAGCTGTGACCAGCAGTGCTGCAGAATTTGAAGAGGCACAAATGGAGGGTGAAAGAGAGAAACAGGCCAAGAGGAAGGCGCGTCAAGCCAACCCCGACCGAGACCAGGTCCCACCTGGAAACCAGTGCCCTCACTGTGGGAGAAGATGCAGGTCAAGAATAGGGCTCCACAGCCACCTACGAACCCACCCCCAGAACACCGAACTTGGAGGACCATCATCCTCGGACTACGAGGGATCGCCTAAGGAAGGAATACGGATGCCATTGCTGCAAATATTTTTTTTCAGCTAATGCAAGTGAAGTGCTTTCAACATTGAGAATAATTGTTTAAGTGCTTTGTGTTATTGATCTGTTTGTCAGCCATGACTATATTGAAGGCACAGGGTTTCTGTCCATCATATACGTTGATCTTGATCCAACGGTCTTCACAAAGTGGATGATGATAATTCCCTAAAATTTTAAATACATATACAGCATTTTGCCACCAATTTAATTGTTTTGGCTTTATCCAATGGGATTCTGGGAGTCTTAGTTTCAATTCATGAAGTATTTAGAATTCTGTATTGGAGAGTTCTAGTGCAAGCATGGGCGAACTTGACCCTCCAGGTGTTTTGGACTTCAACTCCCACAATTCCTAACAGCCGGTAGGCTGTTAGGAATTGTGGGAGTTGAAGTCCAAAACACCTGGAGGGTCAAAGTTTGCCCATGCCTGTTCTAGTGCCTCATAAAATCACTGAGTTGGAAGGACCATTGAGTCCAACACATTGCTCCATGCAGGTTCTCCAGCTCAGCAGTTGGATGTCTGGCCTCCATTTGAAGATGTCCAGAGAAAAACCAAAATGGGGTTCAAACTCAATTGACTCTGTACCTGACAGTGGCTGCCTGCCTCCTGACTAGCTCAATGATTCTGCCTGTGTTTCCAGCACCGCTGTCCGTGAAGAGGAAGAGCTGCCGTGGGAACCCGCGTTGAAGAGGCTGCCCCAAGATCCAGGTCAGAGCAGCCAGGAGGTTGGGTCCGCCCAAGTCTGTCCGTAACTTCCGGATGTATTCGCAGGCCATCCTGAGAGTCTCCTATGGACACAGAAAGACTAGATTATGGTCTTAATCTCACACTCTGAGATCTAGGAATATAAATATTTTAATGAATCCAATGTTTACTCCCAACATGAGTAGACCCATTGACGCATTGACATAAAGTTAGCTAAGACTGCCGTATCAGCACTATCATAGGCCTGATATTTCAAGCCAAAATGTGACGGCGCGAGTGGTGCCACCTATGTGTAGAACTGTTAATTGTATCATGCTTAATCCTGCCTTTTTACCCTGCTTATGTATAGTTGGATTGATTGGTTATTTATAGCTGTCAATCAGTATTGTTTGGCTCCAACTCTTCCTGGAGGAGGGGAGTGCTTCCCTTTTTCATTCTGCCATCAGAGTTTCTATCAGATGGACGTGAGTAAGAGACTTGGCTCTAAAAGCCCCTGATTAAATTACCTCTCAGCACCAATTCTGAATTTCTTACCCTTGAGACTTATGCTTCATGTTCAGATCAACCTGAACGATGTTGGAAGTCTCAAGCGCCTTCAAACCGGTTCTTTTGACACCAGAGGAAGATCCTGAGTCTTCAAACATAGGCCATTTGAACTGGGGTTGTGGATTGCTCCGGCATTCACAGCCATTGAGGAAAGAGGAAACTTGGAAAATCTTCTCAGCTTCAAACTCCTTGGACCCAGGACTAACTGAGACTGTAACGTATATTTTCCTTCACCCCTCTGAAGCTTCCAGCTCACTTCTTTAAAGAAATAACTCTTTGTGATCAATAAATCTTATTTTGAGTTATCTGCAGTGTTTGGGTCTTTGAGAGTTCCAGTTTCCTAAAGGAGGGCAAGAAGCAATCGCCTGGGGAAAGATGTCACGTCCATGCCTCTTTCACTAAGAGCTATAACCCCCAGGCGCAATGGCACACAAAAGCTGAGGCTTAGGGACAACCACTTGTGATCCCATGAGACTAGGCCCTGAAATAGGGTTGTAAAGTTGATATTGCAAGGGGGAAATGGCAGTGACATGAAACATAAGACATTGAGACTGTGATATGACCTGCCGGGAGAGATTCAACAGCTGCGGAACATAAGACCCACCTGAAGACCCCTCTCTTTCAGCAGCCAGTCAATTTTAAGTTGCAAATTTTAATCTTCATTTCATCAGTGGAGTTTAACTTGTATTTTAACGTTGTGTATCTTGTTGTATAATCTCTTGTTTTAATGATGTTGTACCCGTTACCCAGCCTTGAGCTGCAGGGAGAGGTGGGTAATATTATTTTTTAAATTTTAAATTATTTCATTTGGCCCAGCCATAGGTTTTTAATGCTTGTTGTTATTGTTACTGTCTATTGTTTATTTTTGTTTATGAGATTTATTTAACTGTTGTATTGATTGCTTTCTTATTGCTTTTATTGTTGACGTACTTTGGCTCGGCCTCATGCCCCTGATGACTCGGCAGCACGCTGTGAAGCATTTGCTCAGTACTTTGCAGACAAAGTCGCTTTGATCCGCGCGGGCTTTGACACCACATTAACTGCAGTCTCTGAGGATGTAACTCAAGCATCTGCTTGTCCAGTTTTGTTGGATTCGTTTCGATCTGTTCAACTCGACGAGGTCACAAGGTTCTTGGAGGAATGAGAGCTACCACATGCATCCTAGACCCCTGCCCATCCTGGCTTCTGAAGGAGGCCAGAGGGGGATTGGCCGAGTGGGTGAAGGTGGTGGTTAATGCCTCCCTTCGGGAAGGCAAAATTCCAGCCAGCGTAAAGCAAGCTGTGATAAAACCGCTGTTGAGAAACCATCACTGGACCCCACTCAATTCGTCAACTATCGGCCTGTTTCCAATCTCCCCTTTTTGGGCAAAGTCTGGAACGTGTGGTGGCCTCACAACTCCAGGCATTCTTGGTAGACACGGATTATCTGGATCCGGCACAGTCTGGCTTTAGGCCGGGACATGGTACCGAGACAGCCTTGGTCGCCTTAGTGGATGATCTGCGCCGGGAGCTCGACAGGGGGAGTGTGTCCTGGGTGCTGCTGGACCTCTCAGCGACCTTCGATACCGTCGACCACGGTATCCTTCTGGGACGCCTCGCGGGGATGGGTCTTGGAGGTACTGTTTTGCAGTGGCTCCGGATTCCTCGAGGGCCGGTCTCAGAAGGTGTTACTGGGAGACTCCTGTTCAACCCCACAACCTTTGTCTTGTGGGGTTCCTCAGGGTTCAATACTGTCTCCCATGCTGTTTAACATATACATGAAGCCGCTGGGAAAGATCATCCGAGTTTCGGAGTGCGATGTCATCTGTATGCGGATGATGTCCAACTCTGTCACTCCTTTCCACCTGCTACTAAGGAGGCTGTCGAGGTCCTGAACCGGTGCTTGGCCGCTGTGACGGGCTGGATGGGGGCGAACAAATTGAAATTGAATCCAGACAAAGAGGTACTCCTGGTTAGTCGCAAGGCCGAACAGGGTATAGGGTTACAGCCTGTGTTGGACGGGGTCGCACTCCCCCTGAAGACGCAGGTTCGCAGTTTGGGTGTGATCCTGGACTCATCGCTGAGCCTGGAACCCCAGGTTTCGGCGGTGACCAGGGGAGCATTCGCACAGTTAAAACTCGTGTGCCAACTGCGACCGTACCTTGGGAAGTCTGACTTGGCCACGGTAGTCCACGCTCTGGTTACATCCCGTCTTGACTACTGCAACGCTCTCTACGTGGGGTTGCCTTTGAAGACGGCTCGGAAGCTCCAATTAGTCCAACGGGCGGCAGCCATGATACTAACAGGAGCGGGGCGCAGGGAGCACACAACTCCTCTGCTGCACCAGCTCCACTGGCTGCCGATCTGCTACCGGGCTCAATTCAAAGTGCTGGCGTTGGCCTTTAAAGCCCTAAACGGTTCTGGCCCAACCTACCTATCCGAACGTATCTCGGCCTATCAGCCCACCAGGACCCTAAGATCTTCTGGGGAGGCCCTGCTCTCTATCCCGCCTGCTTCACAGGTGCGGCTGGCGGGGACGAGAGACAGGGCCTTTTCTGTGGTGGCCCCTCGGCTTTGGAACGCCCTTCCCACAGAGGTAAGATCAGCCCCCTCGCTGATGGTGTTTCGTAAAAGATTGAAGACCTGGATGTTCGTACAGGCATTTGGCTAATTGGTACAATGAACTGATGACTAAAGGATTGGTAACACGGACGATGAAATTGGATCATGATTTTAGTTAAGAGATGCATTGGATTATTATCGACGGGCCAATATTGTTTATTGTGTATGTTGTTTTTATGGTTTTAAATTGAATATTGTTTTTGTTGTACTGTTGTAAACCGCGTTGAGTCGCCAATTTAGGCTGAGAAACGGCGGTATACAAGCACAGTAATAAATAAATAAATAAATACATACATACTTGGAACCTTTATCCCTTGGGGAGAGAGGGTGGGTTAAAATAAATAAATAAATAATAATAATAATAATAATAATAATAATAATAATAATAATTATAAATATACCCAGAAACAGGATTAATATTTGAGGCACCAAAGTGTGCATTGGCCTATGAGGCATAGCTTCAGGGACTAGTGCTTTGAATGTGATTTTCCTGCGTCTTGGCAGAGGGTTGGGCTGGATGACCCATGAGGTCTCTTCTTCCAACTATGATTTTGTGATTATATAGCAATATCATTCAAATAAAAAACACCAAGCCTGACAACTGAGGAATTTTCCTTTACATGCACACAGAGACTTTTCAAGCCAGCACTCTTCCTCCTTTTCCCCCTGAGGACTAAAGAAGAGGAACCAGACTGTGAGACTGGGAATATTAGTGCTGACATATGTAGTTGCTACTGATCGACAAAACAGCCCTAGTTGGAGCAAGCAATTTGATTTAGGCTCACAGAGGATGGTGTGCCATTACACCCAGACGCTTTTATAAAAACAAAACTATGATGTGCTGTTCCCTATGTCTGGGCGAACTGCTGGTGCTTTTCTTGAGAAGATTGAGATTCTCAGTAACTGAGTCTATCACAAGTTCTGAACATCAAAAAGGATATTTATTTCTCAAAGTTGCAAACAGAACAGTCAATTGATAAACCAAATAGATATTTCTTCTTTCTCTTCTCCACCAGTTACTGAGTCAGCCTTTCCCCAAGTGGCAAAGGTATCCAGGGATCCTTCACCCTAATCCAGAGCTATTGTCTTTTAGAAAGAACAAATCTTTCCCTATCTATCTAAGCACCAGATTAGCCTTTGAGATAAGGCAATGCAGTCTCTCTCTCTATAAGACTCTATAAAACTCAATTCTCAAAGCTCAATATCTATTTTTCTTTATACTCTATAACTCTTATAATCTATCTAACTATAGCTCAATTCTTCTCAATTCCTGTCTATAACTCAATTAAGCTTATCTAACTATAATATCTCAATTGAGCTTATCTCAATTCTATAACGCAATTGTTTTTGTGGTGGTTTGTCGGAGCTACCTTTTCTGGCCACCAGCACATCAGATTCCTTCTTCAGAACTGAACAGGCAGGGAGGACTCCTAAATGGAAGTCTTTCCCCGGGACCAGGGGCGGGCTCAAAGAGTTGCTCCCTAGGCCAATCATTGCAAAGAGTTTGCAAGCTGGCTTTTCCCACCTTTGGCTGCAAACTCCAGGCTCTGCAAGGCTGCAGCAGCTCCCGAGAGAAAGGCAAGGGGCAGCCACTTCAAGCAACCAAAAAAAAAAAGCAATGCAAACCAGTCTCCTGGGAGATGGAACAGATGGCAATAGTGTGACCCAGACTTTTACCATAAAGGAACCACCAATGTGGATCACAAACCGGTGTGAATGTTGACCAAAAGAATTCATTTTATGTTGAACTAGCTCTGATTCTCCACCCTTAAGAATGCAGATAATGTGACCTGAATGCAGAGTGGAAATGAGCTCAATTTCTGCTCATTACAGGTAAAGTATTGTGGTAGAAGCCAATTCCTGCCCCATGGCAAGGTTTGTAAACATTACGCAACTGAACCAAAGGCTCCTACGTGGACATGGCCTTCTCTCATCTCCAGCAGAATAACCTGTGCAAAATAACTCAATGTATGCTAGTCTTATAAAACACGCACCTTGCAACTTTTGTTGGCTAGAAACCAGGTCATCCATGCGTATGATTTCGACCACAAGGGCTGATGATGCAACATTTCCATCCAACAATAGCATCAGACCAAAAGTGCAGCATTCCTGCAGACTCATAGCTTGTGGCCAGATTCAGTTAGCAGGGGGAACAAGAAACCACATAATCTCCAATTACTCACGTTATTGCAGGGCTTGCTTGCGGAGAAGAGAGGCTTGATGCTGGAGCCAAAGCCAGCAACATTCAACAAGGTGCCAGAAGGGAGACTTTTCACAGCCACCAAGAGAGCGTCCTGTGAAGAAGAAGCAAGCAAATCCCATGAGAATGCAGCCAAGTACAGTGTCATCACAATGTCAAATCCTAAAATCCTCATGTTCAGGACAAGCCTATGCAGTTTTGTAAGGGTGAATCCCCACTCAGGTGTGGAAATTGTTGGGGAATCTGAGCTGTTAGTCTCAAAATAACCCTCAGTTGGGGTGATTCCAACAAAAATATAGCAGAATACTACAAGTAAACTTCATAACCAGCAGAAACTTACATGTGGTGAAACTAAAATAAACTTTCTCAGGATGGCACAAGATTAGGTTCAAAAATATTTTACTGAAGCAAAAGAAATACATTCTAGATAGAAAAAAAGTTGGAGAAGTTCCAAAGAGGTGAAAGGGTAAATTTTTTTAAAAGATCAATGCAGCTACATTTTGCCTTAAAAGAGAGGCAAAATGTGTCCTCACTGGAAGGAAGAAAAGGCAGAAGGGACAATGGAGGATGGTCACATGGCCAGCCCAGGGCAATAATAAATACCTTTAGAAAGGAAGATCCCTCACAGAGATTACATTGCTATATCTTCAAAGGGAAGGAGACAGTGGCAAGGAGGAGGATGAAAGACAAAGCCCTTTTGGGTAAACTTGCATAGGCATGTGGAGCTTAATCCTACCATATCTCTACTCATTGAGGTCTGGAAGCTTGATAACACAAGAGACATGTGCAGTCCAGGGATGAAACCCAACAGAAATTGAGTGATTCTGAGCAAGTCACACTCTCTCAGGCAGTCCCTCTCTAATTAAATCTTGCCAAGAAAATCCTATCATGGGGTTGTCAAAAGTCAAAATGACCTGGAAGGCATATAACTACACAGCATAAACGGGCACCTCAAAATGTTTGTTACACAACAGATGTGTCATATCAGGTGCATCTACACTGCAGAATTATTACAGTTTGATATCATTTTAACTGCTATGGCTCAACACAACAGAATCATGAGAGTTATAGTTTTTACAAGGCTCCTTACATTTACCAACACCAATTAAGGAGAGTCTACAACATACCATATGTTCAAGAAATGATGAAGCCAGAATGTTTCAGACTGGAAAAAAATTCTATCATTCATTTACAACTTTGGAACAACATCAGCAAAAATATTGCTATGTAAGATACCTTATTTGAATCCAAGGCCAGGAATTTCCTTCTTTCTCTGGTTTAAAACTGGCTTCTCTGGCTTGAGCCGAAATTCCTTCCTTCTCTGGTTTAAAAGTCTTCTCTGGCTTTAAAACTGGCTTCTCTGGCTTAAGCTGAGACCAGGAAATTCCTTCCTTATCTGGTTTAAAACTGGCTTCTCTGGCTTGAGCTGAGACCAGGAAATTCCTTCCTTATCTGGTTTAAAACTGGCTTCTCTGGCTTGAGCTGAGACCAGGAAATTCCTTCCTTATCTGGTTTAAAACTGGCTTCTCTGGTTTGAGCCGAGGCCAGGGACCAGAAGTGGGGAAAAGCAAGCAGAGGAAATTCCTTCCTTCTCTGGTTTAAAACTGGCTTCTCTGGCTTTAAAACTGGCTTCTCTGGCTTGAGCTGAGGCCAGAAAATTCCTTCCTTTTCTGGTTTAAAACTGGCTTCTCTGGTTTGAACCGAGGCCAGGGACCAGAAGTGGGGAAAAGCAAGCGGAGGAAATCCCTTCCTTCTCTGGTTTAAAACTGGCTTCTCTGGCTTGAGCCGAGGCTAGGGACCAGAAGTGGGGAAAAGCTGAATAATTTCTGGCTCACTTCCGGAGTTGTAACAGAAATGGCGGAAAAAGCTTCGGAAGGGCAAAGGGATTTCCGGTTTATAAAAAAGGTTCGATATTGCTTCAAAAAGGTAATTTTAACTAAATTATTATGAGCAATGAGTTATCTGACGCAACTCTATCCATGCCTAGTTAGTATATTTTCTACTTCTGGGTTGCTGAAGGAAGATCCTTCACACGGACACTTAAGGGCCATTTGAATCTCTCTCAAAAGACGTGTGAGTCAATGCAACTGTTCACATGACTGTATATGTGTTGCTCTGCATAACAAAGAGTAAACACTTTATTCTTTACTGATCATCTGTGTGGCATATCTTTTCTCTAGCAAGACAGTGTGTGGATTGGTAAAGACATGAACGACGCATGATTTTCATTCCACCACAGTGATGTATGCATGAGGATGGATGAATGGATAATGTGAATGCTATGCAAAAATGTAAATCCCCTTTGTCTGTTCGTTAGCCAATGTAACTGTAGGTTGTTTGTGAATTCAATGTAGTTACATAGAATCTGTAGTTACATAGAATCAGGGAGCTCTGGCGTGGGCTGGTCCATGAAGTCATGAAGAGTCAGAAACGACTGAACGAATGTATGCTCAATGCCATTCTTTGTGTGAAAGTGTAAAAGTTCTGATACCGTTTCTCTTACTGGAAAATTGCAATAAAAAGAACCTATGCTTATTGAAAAGTTATTCATAACACTTGAACAAAAACATCTTGGCCCGCAGGTGAAAGGAGAGTATCTTTTTAAGCATTCAAAGAATTTCCCTTGTTGACGACTGGACATGAATGTCAATTCTTGCCAGTACCTGATATGTTTTCGATGCATTCGCAACATCATTGAGAATGAGCTTTGCTCATTTCATTTCCACTATCAAATGTGAGGCAATGAAATAGATCAAATCTTTTCTAGATGCAAAGCGAAAATGACCTAGATATTATAATCCACAGCAAAGAGCGTGGCAAAATCGTTTCCAGCCCAACTGTAGCTGTTGTAAACCCATTTGTCATGAACTCTACAAGTTCTGTCTGACTGCATCATCAGAAAAATCTTCAGAAACCTGACTAGAGTGATGTGCAAAATGACATTTCTGGGCAATTCATCACAACTTCTCAAGGAACTATGTCAGCAAGTTTGACAGCAGAAGAGTTTGATACGTGAACTGACTCTACGCTTTCCTGAAAACGTGTCTCCACTGTCAATACGATCTTTCTGTTTTTGTACAGTGTTGCTCACTTATTTTTTTTAGACACTTTCAAAAAGACAGTCATTGGAGTTAATTAAAAGATACTACTACTCATGCGCTGGCTAATAGAAAGGTAAAATTGTTTAATTATGACATCAAGGCAGCGTTTCTCAACCCAGGGGTCGGAACTCCTGGGGGGTCATGAGGGGGTGTCAATAGAGTTGCCAAAGACCATCAGAAAACACAGTATGTTTTGTTGGTCATGGAAGTTCTGTATACCAAGACTGATTCAATCCCATCATTGGTGGGGTTCAGAATGCTCTCGGATTGTAAGTGAACTATAAATCCCAGCAACTACAACTCCCAAATGTCAAGGTCTATTTTTCCCAAGCTCCACCAGTGTTCACAATTGGGCATATTGAGTATCCATGACAAGTTTGGTCCAGATCCATCATTGTTTGAGTCCACGGTACTCTCTGGATGTAGGTGAACTACAACTTCAAAACTCAAGGTCAATGCCCACTGTCAGGATCCAGTTTCCGGAGCCTGGGCTTTGGCGCCGAAAACTAGAGTCCTGACGCTTCACTCTGATAAGGACCGTGCAGCTGGTGGCCTTGGAGGAAGGCAGTTGCCCGGTGGCGGGAAGCTTTACGCGGGGGTTTTGGGTTCGGTGGAAATCTGCTCTTCAAATAAGTGGGTTTGTATATAAGGGGCTGCCAGCCGTGGCCAGTCAATCTCGGCTTTTTCTATGTCCATGCATCCACCAGTAAAGTTATTTGTTTGATAACGACGGAAGTCTCGTGTCATCATTGAGCACGGCTGTTGTGAGCTGACAGCCCACCAAACACTTCCAGTATTTTCTGTTGATCGTGGGAGTTCTGTGTGCCAAGTTTGGTTCAATTCCATCATTGGTGGAGTTCAGAATGCTCATTGATTGTAGGTGAACTATACATCCCAGCAACTACAACTCCCAAAATCAATCCCCCCTCAACCCCATCAGTATTCAAATTTGGGCGTATTGGGTATTTGTGCCCAATTTGGTCCAGTGAATGAAAATACATCCTGCATATCAGATATTTACATTACAATACATAACAGTAGCAAAATGACAGTTATGAAGTAGCAACGAAAATAATGTTATGTTTGGGGGTCACCACAACATGAGGAATTGTATTAAAGGTTCGTGGCATTAGGAAGGTTCAGAATCACTGCATCAAGGTAAACATGTGTAAGCAGGGAGGCACTTTTTTTTCTTCACAACATTCACAAACCATCCATCACACAAGATTGGCTGCAATCCAAGCTGATATGAAGTGCAGATAAAGTAAAATATCACGAAGCATGGAGATGAATGCCACCTTCTCCGCTCCCCCATCCCCTGAGGAAACTATAATTAGCCACAAGTTTCTTTCCATTCCAAGCTTTGCTTTTTGTTCCATCTAAAGGGAGATGCAGAGAAATTATACACTCTGATCTGAAGGTAAATCATGCCTCCTGAAATCATCCGGAAGAATGATTCCCAATGGTGTATATAAAATTAAGGGAAGTAGCTCTAGGGCAGCAATGGATGAATATTCTGGGTTAAGAGGCCACATTTACTGGTGGGGAGGGAGCTGCATTTTCTCAAAAAGACATTCCTGAAAATACTCCCTGTTTGAGCATGTTGAGATCGGAGGTGACACTCCCCCCCCCCCCCAGGACTTTGTAAAAAATAGTTCAAAATCAGGGAATTCATAGTTTTGCCAAGTACACCAGCTGGGAATGATCCCATAATCCCCTATCTCTCCCCCATGTGGGAACCTACTTTTTTCCCCCATGGCCCTTGATTAACTGGCACTTGATCAATAGGAGCATAGTGTCTAGACCTAGGGAAGTAATGCTACCCCTCTGTTCTGCTTTGGTTAGACCACACCTGGAATATTGTGTCCCATTCTGGGCACCACAATTGAACAGAGATATTGATAAGCTGGAATGTGTCCAGAGGAGGGTGACTAAAATGATCAAGGGTCTGGAGAACAAGCCCTATGAGGAGCGGCTTAAGGAGCTGGGCATGTTTAGCCTGAAGAAGAGAAGGCTGAGAGGGGATATGATAGCCATGTATAAATATGTGAGAGGAAGTCACAGGGAGGAGGGAGCAAGCTTGTTTTCTTCTTCCATGGAGACTAGGACGCGGAACACTGCCTTCAAACTACAAGAGAGGAGATTCCATCTGAACATGAGGAAGAACTTCCTGACTGTGAGAGCCGTTCAGCAGTGGAACTCTCTGCCCCGGAGTGTGGTGGAGGCTCCTTCTTTGGAAGCTTTTAAACAGAGGCTGGATGGCCATCTGTCAGGGGTGATTTGAATGCAATATTCCTGCTTCTTGGCTGGGGGTTGGACTGGATGGCCCATGAGGTCTCTTCCAACTCTTTGATTCTATGATTCTATGATTGTTTGCTGTCTGGAGTTCCCCTGTTTGTGAGTGGTGTTCCTTATTTACTGTCTTGATTCTGGTGCTTTTTCATGCTGGTAGCCAGATTTTGTTCATTTTCATGGTTTCCTCCTTTCTGTTGAAATTGTCTACATGCTTGAGTATTTCAACGGCTTATCTGTGTTGTCTGGCATAGCCGTTGTTAGAGTGGTCCAGAATTTCTGTGTTGTCAAATAATATTTTGTGCCCAGGTTGGTTTACCAAGTGCTCTGCTATAGCTGAGAACACGTGAAGGAATGCTGCTGGAACATGGCCATAGAGCCCAAAAAACTCACAGCAACCCAGTGATTCCAACCATGAAAGCCTTCGACAACACATGTTTTCTACATCTCTCTATATATAAATGCTCTGTGCATAATGAGTACCTTAAAAACAAAAGAACCAATGAACAAAATCACACCAAAGTTGGCAACAAAACATCTCACAACACAAGGAGTGACCATCACTCAAAAATTATGATTTTGTCATTTGGGAGTTGTAGTTGCTGGGATTTATAGTTCACCTACAATCAAAGAGCATTCTGAACTCCATCAACGATGGAATTGAACCAAACTTGGCGCACAGAAATCCCATAACCAACAGAAAATACTGGAAGGGTTTGGTGGGCATTGACCTTGAGTTTGGGAGTTGTAGTTCACCTCCATCCAGAGAACACTGTGGACTCAAACAATGATGGATCTGGACCAAACTGGACAGGAATACTCAATACACCCAAATATGAACACAGATGGAGTTTGGGGGGAATAGACCTTGACATTTGGGAGTTGTAGTCACTGGGATTCATAGTTCACCTACAATCAAAGAGCATTCTGAACCCCACAAACGACAGAATTGGGGCAAACTTCCCACACAGAATCCCCATGACCACAGAAAATACTTAAGGCCATCCAATCCAACTCCCTTCATCAGGGCAAGAAAACGTAATCAAAGTCCTCCTGACAAAAAGCCATCCAGCCATAGATATAGATATAGATATAGAGATGGTGATAGAGATAGATAGATAGATAGATAGATAGATAGATAGATAGATAGATAGATAGATATGATTCACACACAGAGAGAGTATCATATATTTGAAAGGGACCCTTAAAGAAGGACAATGATATCTTGCATGTTTCAGGCTGGGAAAAACAGAAACTCTCCACATCAACACTGACCAAAAAAAAAAAGAAACAGCAAGAAATACTGTTTACCCATAAGCATAAAGAAATTACATATATCAGAAACCAACACTTCCTCATTACTTTATTTTCCAGATCAACAGACTGGGCCACAGCAACGCGTGGCAGGGGACAGCTAGTTATTATTATTTTTTTACCTTGATGCCATCAAGGCAGAGGTCATTTAGGCTGCCGCTCCGGTCAATGAGGAAGAATATTTCCCGAGAGACAGTGTGGAAATCGGTGGAAACGCTGCCCATCTCAGGGCAGAAATTCAGCATCAGGACAGGATTGTGGAAAATGTCTTTGTGGAATCTTTTCTGGACAAAGGACACCTGGGAGCAAAGAAGAAAAGAATCAGGGAAGTTAACGCCTTTTGCTCTAAAACTTTCCAATACTGTATTTCTCACTGCTGAACAGCAATTAGTTAATTAAATCACAAAGAAGCTGAACAGACCCCCTTCAGGAAGCCATTCGATAATTGCAGTGCCGGCACACAAAAATTAAATCATGCTTTGTCTGGGTGCATTCTAATGTGGTACAATCCCAGGAGGGCTCTACTGCAGTTTTCTTTTCTTTGTGAGCCTCCAAAACATTTCTGACTTTTGGCAGCCCTAAAACAAAGCTATCATGGAGTTTTCTTGGCAGAACATTTCCAAAGGGGATTTGCTTTTGCCTTTCTCTGGGACTGAGAAAGATAAGAGCTGGAAGAGATCGCAAAGGCTATCCATCCAGTCCAATCCCGTCATGCAGGAATACACCTCTGGAGTTCCTCCGCTCCGCGGCTTACCTGTCTCTCCCCATCATTGTCTTTCTTGGCAATACGAGCGTAATCCCGCCGGTTCCTGATGTGTGTCTCATACTCATGATACGTCATGGCACCCTCTTCAATGATGAGGTGTGGATAATGTGGTTCTCGAGAGGAAAAAATGGTAACGTTTTTATAGATTCACAATGAGGCCAGCACATCACAAATGGAGCTGTGTTCAGATCCCACCCATACAGTCAGTTTGTGGCTTTGGACAAAGCCAAGGCTTGGTTTTCCCATACGACTTTTGCACACTAAAACATAAACCTAGAAGTGGTTTATAGAAAATACATTTATGCCCAAATCTGAGCGGTCCCAGATTCAGATGGCATGCTGAAACAGATCCAGAGATGTAGTTCCTCTATCTATCTGTCTATCTATCTACTATCTATAGGAACTAAATCTCTGAATCTGTTGTAGTGTGTGTGTATATATATATATATATATATATATATATATATATATATAGAGAGAGAGAGAGAGAGAGAGAGAGAGAGAGAGAGAGAGGAGGCAACTACATCTCTGGACACACACACACACACATGCATGCATACAGTGTGTGTGTGTGTGTGTGTGTGTGTGTGTGTATCTCCACCAAAGTCAACATCGACACCGAAATACAACACCGCCTGAGCTCTGCAAGTGCAGCATTTTCCCGAATGAAGCAGAGAGTGTTTGAGGACCGGGACATCCGTAGGGATACCAAGGTGCTTGTCTATAAAGCTATTGTCCTCCCAACCCTGCTATATGCCTGTGAAACGTGGACTGTCTACAGACATCACATGCAACTCCTGGAACGATTCCATCAGTGCTGCCTCCGGAAAATCCTGCAAATCTCTTGGGAAGACAAGTGGACAAACGTCAGCGTGCTGGAAGAAGCAAAGACCACCAGCACTGAAGCGATGGTTCTCTGCCATCAACTCCGCTGGACCGGCCACGTCGTCTGGATGCCTGACCACTGTCTCCCAAAGCAGCTGCTCTACTCTGAACTTAAGAATGGAAAATGGAATGTTGGTGGACAGGAAAAGAGATTGAAAGATGGTTTTAAAAGAGATTTAAAGATCTTCTCCCTCACTGTGGGAGAAGATGCGGGTCAAGAATAGGGTTCCACAGCCACCTACAAACCCACAAGAATAGTCATCAAGGAAGACCATCTTACTCGTCCAATGAGGGATCGCTTAAGCAATATGTCCATTAGAATTTGCTTTATCCACGAGTCGCTGAAGAATAAGGAATCTGGAGGATCAAAGAGCTTAGTCCTACATTCTGGCTCCCACAAATTACTGGCTCCCCTGTTCTTGTTCAGTACACTCTCCTCTACAGTTCCATTTTGGTGGGAAGCCTTAGCATTGAACGGTTGTGTTGTTAAAGTGCGAATCCTGCGCAGACTGTCAGTCAATGCGACTTAAGCAATGTGCAGTCATTGAATTCTTGACAGCAGAAGGTGTCACCTCAACATCTTTAAACTTGCTCGCCCAACGACGCACAGTACTCACATCAACACAATCTCCATAAACACCTTCTGATGAATCTCCTTTGGGGTGACACCTTCTGCTGTCAAGAATTCAATGACTGCATGTTGATTAAGTTGCATTGACTGACCATCTGCGCAGGGTTCCATACTCCGCACTTTAACAACACAACCATTCAATGCTAAGGCTTCTTGCCAAAATGGATCGGTAGAGGAGAGTCTACTGAACAAGCCAGTACCTGCTACATACCAGTACTGCCATCTGTTGAAGTGTTACAAAGGTGGAGGCATTACTTTTCATTCAACCCTCGTAAATCTAGAAATTTTAGTTAACAAAACAAACCACAAACTTATTCCAGGGTCATTATAAGCACTGTACTTATCTCTCTCTCTCCTTTTTTAAAGAGTTCTTCTCTGAAAAGAATGGCAAAAGTTTGATCCATCCCATGAGATCCATTCTACTCTCTCCACCATGGCATTTATTTATTTACTTTATTTACTTTATTTGTATACCGCACTATCTCAGCCCGCAGGCGACTCAGTGCGGTTTACAACAGGTCAATATACAAGGTGCACAGCATTAGCATTAACATTTAAACAATAACTAAAGCAACTAAAACAATACAACAATACATCAGTAAATCAACATGACATCAATACATCCATATAACTAATCCAACACGTCTCATCAGTAAAGTCATAATCCGATCTCCTCGTCCATTATTCCAAGTTCCAAATTCCAAGTTCCAAACTCAGTCAATTGATTGCACTGCTTAATTGAACGCCTGTTCAAAGAGCCAGGTCTTCACTCTTCTCCTGAACGCCAGCAGGGAGGGGGCCGATCTAATGTCTGCGGGAAGGGCATTCCACAGCCGAGGGGCCACCACTGAGAAGGCCCTGTCTCTCGTCCCCGCCAGCCGTGCTTGTGAGGCTGGCGGGATCGAGAGCAGGGCCTCCCCGGACGATCTTAATGTCCTAACTGGTTCATAGGGGGTAATGCGTTCGGACAGATAGGTCAGGCCAGAACCGTTTAGTTAAAGTGCGAAATATCACTTCTGACTTCTTTGAATGTGTGAATAGGGGAAATTACAGCAGAAGCCCAAGGCAACATCATGAATCTTTGTTGAATGACTCTTGACTAATTACACTATGTAACACATTTTTTTGTTCCTGGCTTATAAATGTCGTTTCCTAATTGGTTCTATCATAAAAACATGGAAAATGTTGTTTTGTTAATCTTATGGTTATGTTGTTTTTTACTTTGTATGTTTTGTGATGTTACCTGGGAACCACTCTGGGTCCCCTCAGGGAGATATAGCGGTATATAAATAAAGTTTTATTATTATTATTTATTATTATAAAAGTTTATTAAACTGCAAAAACTGTTTTTGAGGGAGGGACATCCTGCAGCACATTTTGCTGTAGTTTTCCAATGAATATCTCATCAAGTCTCCACCAATTCAACATCGTTTGCGGCAGAGACAAATCAAAGTTTCTGGAGTATGTAGAACAATTACTTTCCGAGTAAGTATTACACAATTAAACAGGATCAACACTTTTAGACCAGGAACAGAAGAAAAAAAAATCTAATTTTGTTACATTCTGTTATCCATAGGTCATATCAACATCCACAATTTGCCACCATAACCTGCTCTTCAGTCATCCATGAGGTTGACCTATACACGAGTATATAGCATTTGGATGAGATAATTTCAGCAGATGTCTGACAAGCAACAGCTGAAATTTTTCACATCTACACAACCACTGAATCATAGAATCATAGAATCAAAGAGTTGGAAGAGACCTCATGGGCCATCCAGTCCAACCCCATTCTGCCAAGAAGCAGGAATATTGCATTCAAATCACCCCTGACAGATGGCCATCCAGCCCCTGTTTAAAAGCTTCCAAAGAAGGAGCCTCCACCACACTCCGGGGCAGAGAGTTCCACTGCTGAACGGCTCTCACAGTCAGGAAGTTCTTCCTCGTGTTAAGATGGAATCTCCTCTCTTGTAGTGGAGTACAGGAGTTTTATCTCCACCAGTCTTAGGGACTCTTGCATACTACACAATTGTATTCTATTTTAACTACCATGGCAACAATTTATGGAATAGGCATCAAGTTTACAGCTTCCCCCAGTGTCATATTTTTCTCTTACCACATGGATACAAGATAATCTCCAGGTTCCGATCACATGTGTGCTGCTCTGCCAACGTAATGCATATCGTTGAGGCAGAGCTTGCAAATGGATTCGCATCAGCTCGAAGGGCATGGGATGGGCTCTCCAGTCCTGCAAAAACATACACAAAGGGAGGAGAGAAGAAAGAGACAGGATTCAATCATTTCCACCATATGCGGAAGGTATCATGTCCTCTAAAACTTGCCAGATGGAAGGAGATATTCCTGTGTTATGCTGAGGAAGTGCTGCTTCACAAACTTCAAAGTCTATTGTAAGGAGATTACGTGAAGGTGCAAAGATGTGCTGCTAGAATGTGTAGTGACACATTCATGTGTTGGATGCAGGGTGTAGGTGTGTCACACAAACACAATGAGAAACCTCTGAGTTTATATGAAATCTATATAAACTCCAGCCCTGTTTACTAGGGCTGGGCGGTTTCGTTTCGTTAATTCGTAATTCGTTAATAATTCGTTAATTTTTTCAATTACAAAACGATAACGAACCATTCTGGAGCAATTTTTTTAAAAAACGAATTTTTAAATAGTTTTGTAAATGCTTCGTATTTCGTTATTGTATTCGTTTCGTTATTGTTTTGAGGTCGTTTCGTTATTATTTCCGCATGTCTGGGGCAAGTTTTATGGTTGTTTTTTGTTTAATTAGTGAAAAAAAATTATAATATCACACCAACAGTCAACAACAGAGGGAGAGGGAAGCTTCAGAAGTTTTTGGAGGTTTTTTAGCGTATTTCGCGGTCGCGTCCGCCATTAACGAATCGATTCGTTATTGTTTCGGAAATCGATTCGTTAATGTTTTGTAATTTTTTTCACATTTACGAAATTTCGTAAATATCGAACTTTTAAAAGGAAAATTTTGTAATTATTTTAAATAACGAAACGCAAAAACCCCCAAAAAACGAATCGATTTTAGAAACAAATTTTTCTGTTGTTACCCAGGCCTACTGTTTACCTCTCCGAATGTATTCTCCCCTATGGACCATCAAGATTATTAAGATTGTCTGGAGAGGCCCTGCTCTCGGTCCCACTGGCCTCGCAAGCGCGTCTGGTGGGGACGAGGGACAGGGCCTTCTTGGTGGTGGCCCCTCGACTCTGGAACTCTCTCCCACTGGAGATCAGAACCGCCCCTTCTATCCTGACATTTAGGAAACAGGTGAAGACGTGGTTATGGAGACAGGCATTCGACGAGTGAGCCAACACCCTGAGATATGGATGGAGGATGATGAGCAACGATTTTAGTGTGACAACTGACCATTGTAGTTATTGAATGTAATTGCTGTTTTAATGTTTTACTGTAATATGAATTATGATGTTTTATTGGCTGTATGTGATATTATGGTTGGAAACCGGTCTGAGTCCCTCAAGAGAGGTGAGAAGGTCGGTATACAAAACTTTTAAATAAATAAATAAATAAATAAAAATGTAATGTTTGTTTATGGGATTAACAGAACTCAAAAACCACTGGACGAATTGACACCACAGTTGGCCACAAGACTTACTTACTTACTTAGGTGATCCCTCATAGTCCGAGGATGATGGTCCTCCAAGTGTAGTATCCTGAGGGTGGGTCCGTAGGTGACTGTGGAGCCCTATTCTTGATCTGCATTTTCTCCCACAGTGAGAGCATCGGTTTCCAGATGGGAGGCGGTCCCGGTCGGGGTTGGCTTCATGCGCCTTTCTCTTGCCATGTTTCTCCCTTTCGCCCTCCATTCGTGCCTCTTCAAATTCTGCAGCACTGCTGGTCACAGCTGACCTCCAACTGGAGTGCTCAAGGGCCAGGGCTTCCAAGTTCTTAGTGTCTATGCCAGAGTTTTTAAGGTTGGCTTTGAGCACGTCATTAAATCTCTCTTTTCTGTCCTCCAACATTCCGTTTTCCATTCTTGAGTTCGGAATAGAGCAACTGCTTTGGGAGACGGTGGTCGGGCAACTGGACAACATGGATGGTCTAGCAGAGTTGATGGTGGAGGACCATTGCATCAGTGCTGGTGGTTTGCTTCTTCCAGCATGCTGACATTTGTCGGCTTGTCTTCCCAAGAGATTTGCAGGATTTTTCAGAGGCAGCGCTGATGGAATCATTCCAGGAGTTGCATGTGAGCCGGGGGGGGGGGGGGTGTTTTCTTTGGGGGCTTCACCTCCACTACCTACGAACTGGGGAACGCGCCTTCAGCCCCCCCGCCCGAAATTCTCATGGTGGTTCACGAATGGCCTTACTGGTGCATTATTTAAACTGTTATGTTTATTCATATCATGATCTGATCACCATGCTCAATATATCCCATATGCATGGGGGTATTGGGATAATGATACAAAAGGTTTGCTAGGGTAGATCCTGAGCCCCCCCCCCCCCCCCCGAAGCAAATTCAGCCCCCCCCCATTCAAAATCCTGGCTACAGGCCTGGTTCCAGGAGTTGCATGTGACGCCTTTAGACTGTCCACGTCTCGCAGGCATATAGCAGGGTTGGGAGAACAATAGCCTTATATACAAGCCCCTTGGTATCCCTACGGATGTCCTCAAACACTCTCTGCTTCATTCAGAAAAATGCTGCACTTGCAGAGCTCAGGCAGTGTTGAATTTCAGTGTCAATGTTGACCATGGTAAGCCCAGGTGCTTACCATTTACTTGAATGTACCTTTCTATCCCCCATACGTTTTTATCCTCAGCTCCTGTGGACTTCTTACTACTCCTTGGCAAATCATTCCAAAATGTCTAAAGATTGCAATATTGTGGTCACAACACAGGATTCCTCTCTATTTCAGCTCTGTCTGTGTTTGTAGTTGCTTTGTTTGTTTGTTATTAAAAGAGAAGTACCAAATTTCCAGCATATTTACAGTGCTTTCATGGAGCTGGTCAACGTTTCATCACAGAATTATTATTTTTTTACCTAAACCACAAAGCAGCCATTCCTCAACACAGAAAGACATTTTTACTATGCTGTGAATGCTATATCTCTTGAAGAGATGGGAATTAAGCCAAGTCCTAATGGGATTACTTCCCTTGCCTGTTTGAAGCATATGCTCTTGGCTCTCCATAACTGCTCTTGCCTCCATCCTCTTGATTCCTTTCTCATAGTTTTCACAAGTTAGAAACAAATATAGGCACAGCAATGAGGCTTTCATAAAATTATGGTAAGAATCCTGGTAGGGTCTTTGTATATGAACCCATATCTGCCAGAATCAAAATTTGGAAGTGCTGTTAACATTCATAGCCAGTAAAAGGCTGCTGTTACGTTACTACATAGTGAAGCCAGCAAACTGACTGATGCACAACAGACTAATGTGCATTTTCTACTGCCTTCCATGTTGCCAAGCTTTGTAACAAGTCTTGTCTTTTCATGGTATGCCAAAATATGACAGCCTCAGACTTGTCATCTTGGCTTCTAGGGAGAATTTATTGCAAAATGGCAATAATAATAATGAAGCCGAGCATGTCTCCCCCCCCCCCCCCAAATAAGGGATAGTAACTTAAAGTTTTCCAAGGGCCAAGGACAAGTCTGCAGGACTCCCTTGACTAGCTCAGTGAAATCCTTTGGTTCCTGCAACATCAACCCTATATATATATATATACGGACCACTGGAGCTTCCTGATTGGTCCAAAGACGCCGGGGACGGGAGGGCCACCTCCCAGCTTTTTGCCCATTGTCCAATCACAGTGGAGGACAGGGCCGGGGCGGGAAGGTTGAACTCTGCAACTTTGAATTTACTATAAATATGGCTGTATCAAATGTATTTCTTTATGCTCTGCTGGCGAATGATTGCAGCTCTGCATCCTTTTCAGCTGGATCACTAAATAAACCTTGATGGCTTTTCTTCAACCTTGGTGAGATTTATTTGGGAAAAATCAGGGAAAATTCTGGGCCTTTCTCCTCTTTCGCTTGCCAAGGGTTTCGGACTCTCTTTGGTGGGTCTAAGGGCTCCTCTCTCCTGGGCAGGAGCCTCCAAATTCTAGCTCGATATCAATAATAATAATAATAATAATAATAATAATAATAATAATAATAATCTTTATTTATACCCCACCACCATCTCTCCAAAGGGGACTCGGGGCGGCTAACATGAAGCCAAGCCCAAAAATACAATACAGCAAAATGAAATACAAAACAATGAAAAACTACATCACAATAAAATACATATATGGAAGTGCAGAAGGGGCCTCAGTACACCTGTAACATGTCAAGTACATCTCTAAACGATTTGCCAATCTGTTGAAAGATGCAGCTTTATCGGCCAGACTGATGTTTCACTGGGAGAAACAGATGGGTAACAAAATCTTAGTGGATGTTGAGACATTCCCAATTGCCTTTGCCTCTATGTCCATGAGTTAGCATGCAGAGAGAGAGGAAGAGAGCTAGGTTCAATATACCCTACCTGCCAGCAAACAGGGCCCCTTAACCAGCATCTCAAAGGTGAACTCGTAGGGAAAAGGATTGTAAACCTCTCCCCGAAAGACGTCGGTCTCCTTGGGTGGCACCAGGAATGACTGCTCACTCTTCATACTGGCAGATCCAAAGCAGCTGGTGGAGCTGAAGGAGAAAGCAAAGACGTACATGAAGGCCACTTGACGTGAACCATACCTGGATTCAGCGCAGTTGGACCTGGGAGACCTGCAAACTCTTATTCTGAAATAAGATGAACCCTTGCTGTTCACCCCATGGTCTATAAAGAGATCTCTCCAAAAGTGGGCTAAACTAAAATGTTTATGGGCTCTTTTTCCTCTGTGTGGTTAGGTTTGTGCATATAGAAATGCAAACACAACTTAAAGAGAAATAATATATTTTAAAAAAATAGGGAAATCTCACCGTAATCCTTTGGCAAATTCCCTAGTTCCCCAAATCCATATAAATGCAACATCCCCGCAAAATGCTGGAAAATGATTTTTTGGAGGTGAAGGGAAATCCTTTATGTAGCTGAACACTAGCACAAGAAAGGAGATTCCATCTGAACATTAGGAAGAGCTTCTTGACTGTGAGAGCTGTTCAGCAGTGGAACTCTCTGCCCTAGTGTGTAGTGGAGGCTCCTTCTTTGGAAACTTTTAAACAGAGGCTGGATGGCCATCTGTCAGGGGTGCTTTGAATGCAATATTCCTGTTTCTTGGCAGGGGTTGGACTGGATGGCCCATGAGGTCTCTTCCAACTCTATGATTCTATGATTCTATGACATGGTAGATTCTACTGAAGGAGGTTTTATTTATAAGGACATTTTATAAAACTTTTATCTTAATTGCCAAATCCCTGCTTTTCAAAGACATGCTAAATATAATTTAGGATTGAGTTGGAATTGAATTGGGTGTAATATTATAGTAGTTAAGGCAAAAGTTTCCCCTGACACTAAGTCTAGTCGTGTCCGACTCTGGGGGGTGGTGCTCATCTCCATTTCTAAACCGAAGAGCCGGTGTCATTCATAGACACCTCCAAGGTCATGTGGCCAGCATGACTGCATGGAGCGCCATTACCTTCCCACAGAAGCGGTACCTATTGATATATTCAAACTTGCACGTTTTCAAACTGCTAGGTTGGCAGGAGCTAGGGCTAACAGCAGGAGCTCACCAGATTTGAACCACCAACCTTACGGTCAGCAAGTTGAGCAGCTCAGTGGGTTTAACCCACTGCGCCACCTGGGGGTCTAATGTATTATAGTACCATTACCCCCAAAATGACCTCCATAACAGTTAAGGGATTGTGGAACAGAAATTCATCAGATCTGGAGGCAAATAGGTTTTACAAAGGTCTTTAATGGTTAAATGAGTTGAGCTCCCACTGTTAGCCCTAGCTCTTGCCAACCTAGCAGTTCGAAAACATGCCAATGTGAGTAGAGCAATAGGTACTGCTTCTGTGGGAAGGTAATGGTGCTCCATGCAGTCCACCTGGTCTTCTCCCAAGTCACTTTTTAAATTTATTATTTGTGACAAACACACACAGATGGTATCTAGATAAGACTTTTTTTTCACACAATAGTCTCTGTCAGTCATGGAATTTAATATAGGCATCAGATATCGATTGGAATTCTATTGGTGCCTTCTGCATGTGTACGAAAAACTAAATGTTTGCATCAAATATGGAACATCCATATTCGGTTCAGTTACCAAAACAGAGTTGGATTTATTTGGATTTTCATTCAGGAGCACTTTTAGGTCCTTGGTTCAGTTGTACAGTGTTGCCATTCAATGCAAGAGTCGCATAGCACAATTAAGGTATCACGCTCTATGTGAAGATCTACACTGCCCAACTCTGATGTAGGATTTCTGCTTTCTGTCTTCCCCTACTATTCTGCTCTTCTACATTAAAGGTACAGGAGACACACCCAGTTTTCACTCTGGTACCTCCGCTGTAAGGCTATCTAGACAACGTGATGCTGAAATTAAGAACCTGTAAATATCTGTATGAATGTTCTTTCCTTTAGCATCATACCCATGGCATAGCTGCTCGTAAAGCTCTTAGCAGTCCCCGGAAGCTCCTCAAGCCCCCTTCCCCCCTATTATCTCCGCTGAGCATAGACTCGGAGAAAGCCATGAAAATCACCATAGAGCCAACCTGTCGTCACACAAGCCTCTTGCCTCACTTTCACTTTCGGGGTTGGTATCGATGAAGGGCATGAGAATGGATGGGAAGAGGACATGCAGCGCCCCGTTTGGAAGTGTGGCCAGCTCCTGACTGCTGCTTAGGGTCACAGTCAAGGTCTCCGAGGGCCCAATGGGGCCGGTGCCGATGATGAACGTGGAATGGGCCAAGTCTTCATCAAGGACTAAGTGACCTGGGCAGAAGACAGAAAGGAGGTAGTTAGAGAAATCTCTTCAAAAGGTGCATTGGAGAGACCATTGCCATTTGTATGTCAGAGCCTCAGATCGACATACCTCATTGAATTGACAATAGAATATAGCAGGCATGGGCAAACTTTGGCCCTCCAGGTGTTCTGGACTTCAACTCCCACAATTCCTAACAGCCTTTCGATCGTTAGAAATTATGGGAGTTGAAGTTCAAAACACCTGGAGGGCCAAAGTTTGCCCATACCTGAAGTAGCCACTGTACTAAACCCTATCTCCCAAAGGGGGTAAAGCCCCTTTAAAGTTTTAGACTAAAACCTGGAGCAAATTCACTGCCCCAGTGACACAGAAGTCCCTAATTCTATGCCCCATTTTTGTCCATTTCATCATTGTCAGTCGCAGCGCACAACCAACCGTTGGTGCAGCGGAGTGGCTGGTTCCAGCTGGCATTGCAGTCAAGGCAGCACTCCTCCATCCGAGGCCGGTTCTGGATCTGGAAAGTGGAGGCCCTGCTTCCCGTGGTGGCTTCAAAGCTTGAGACCACTTCTGACTCCTCCAGTGGGTAAACAAATACTCCTGTGCAAAAGAAGCCAGGCTGAATCCCAATGGCAGAAGAGACACACAATGTCATCCGGTCCCAAAACAGACATAGCACAACTGAATAACCTCAGCTTAATCTACAACTTCAGCCCTCCAAGTGTTTTGGACTTCAGCTCCCATAATTCCTAACAGCCGGTAGGAATTGAAGTCTAAAACACCTTGAGGGACAAAGTTTGCTCATTGTTCTGTCGCGCGCTGGGCCTGTAAAGAATTTCCTTTAGAACAGGATGTGCAACCTTTGCCCAGCGGGAAGCCAGGGGGCCCAAGGAGAAGTTCTCAGAGGTTTTCCACCACAAATGATCTTTAGATGGCTTGTGAAGTATAACTAAGTCTTTTATTAATGAACAATCAAACAGAAACTTCTCTTGTCTTCAACAAAGCTAAATAAATGCTTCCAAGCTTTATGCAACTGGTGACTTCCTAATCTTGCCCACAAAGGACAGGCAACTGTCTTCAATAACTTCTTCTTTACTTTAAAGGAAAATCCCCTTTTTAACTTCTCCCAGGCTGACTGTAATCTAACCCTTACTGATGTGGGCTCCGCTACCAGTCCAAACTGCGTCTCGAAGCACCGAGTAGACCTACCAGTAAAGGCTTAGATATTCTCCAGCTGGAGTTCTTTGGTCTTTAGGGCTGTTTTCCTGGAAATCTTTGGAGACTGTTTTCCCCTGGAAAGTCTTAAGGGTTGAAGCTTTTGTACAGGGGAAGCTTGCACACGTCCTGGCCATTAGCTTTCCTTGCTGAGACTAACTAAAAAAATGGCTCCCTTCCCTTCCCAATTGCCCTGAGCAAGGGGCGGGACCAAAACTTAATGATGATGGATAGGTGACTTGCCCTACGACTGCAACCAAAGGAAGCCACCTTCCTGCAGAAACCCTGACTGCAAGCAAACATTTAATACAAAACAAATAAAGTGGGAGCTCCTGGTACAGCTGTACCAGCACACTCAAGTTTGAGATTTTCTTTTGTTGTGTCAGCAGTGACTTGAGAAACTGCAAGTTGTTTCTGGTGTGAGAGAGTTGGCCACCTGCAAGGACGTTGCTCAGGGGTCACCCGGATGTTTTTACGTTTTACCATCCTTGTGGGAGGCTTCTCTCATGTCCCCTATGGGGAGTTGAAGCTGACAGAGGGAGCTCAACCCACTCTCCCCGGATTCAAACCTGCAACCTGTCAGTCTTCCGTCCTGCTGGCACAAGGGTTTAACCCATTGCACCACCGAGGACTCTGAGAGATGTCTGAGATAGACAATTGCCAGACCATGCCATAAAATGCAAATAAATTGCTTAATATGTCCTAAGGGTCAAACTATGTGTTAAAGGGAATGCCTGTTCTCTAAACTACCTTATTTCCCTCCCACAATGGGATTTCCTCACACTAAATGCAAGATATAGAGATGGAGAAAACCATGTTATGATAAACCGATGTCTTCCATCATTTGGCAGAGCATGAAGGCTGAAACATGTCAACAAAGAACTCAATTAGTTATGCTCTATCCTATGTCTCTGGCAATAAGCCCAAGGCATCTGAAGCAGAAGAAATAAAAAGAAGTGAAAAAGCTACCACGATATCTATTAAATTAGCCAGTGGCGCATTGGGTTAAACCCCTGTGCCGGCAGGACTGAAGACCGACAGGTCACAGGTTCGAATCCCAGGGAGAGCACAGATGAGCTCCCTCTATCAGCTCCAGCTCCCCATGCAGGGACATGAGAGAAGCCTCCCACAAGGATGGTAACACATCAAAAACATCCGGGCGTCCCCTGGGCAATGTCCTTGCAGACGGCCAATTCTCTCACACCAGAAGCGACTTGCAGTTTCTAAAGTCACTCCTGACACGACAGAAAAATCTATCACCAATGCAAGTACACAGTCAACTGTCACTATAGCTCCAAAAATGTCCTTACCATCCACAGGCTGCTGCTCCAAGTTGATGTAAGTGAGGTGGGCAGTGAGGCCCAGGGAATAGCCATTGGCACAGGCTTTGACACACGAACTCTGTAGCGGAAGGGCAGTCCAGGCTGGCAGGCAGTACAAACCTGGCATGGTCTTCTGGCGGAACTAGAAAGTCCCACTACCCGGAGCTAAAAAAGACAAGGAAAGAATAATAACAAAGCTAAAGCGGTAGCACAGTGGGTTAAACCGCTACCTGCAGAAAACTTGCTGACTGGAAGGTCAGCAGTTCAAAGCCCAGGGGTTGGGGTGAGCTCCCGCTGTTAGCACTAGAGAAAATTTTGCCTTTGTGTATTTTATTTCATTATTCTTACTGTATAAAAGCATTGAATGTTTGCCTATATGTGTGTATACTGTAATCCACTTTGAGTTCCCTCAGAGAGATAGAGCAGAATATAAATAAAGTGTATTATTAGGACTTATAGAATCATAGAATCATGGAATCAAGAGTTGGAAGAGACCTCATGGGCCATCCAGTCCAACCCCCTGCCAAGAAGCAGGAATATTGCATTCAGATCACCCCTGACAGATGGCCATCCAGCCTCTGTTTAAAAGCTTCCAAGAAGGAGCCTCCACCACACTCCGGGGCAGAGAGTTCCACTGCTGAACGGCTCTCACAGTCAGGAAGTTCTTCCTCATGTTCAGATGGAATCTCCTCTCTTGTAGTTTGAAGCCATTGTTCCGCGTCCTAGTCTCCAAGGAAGCAGTAAACAAGCTTGCTCCCTCCTCCCTGTGGCTTCCTCTCACATATTTATACATGGCTATCATATCTCCTCTCAGCCTTCTCTTCTTCAGGCTAAACATGCCCAGCTCCTTAAGCCGCTCCTCATAGGGCTTGTTCTCCAGACCCTTGGATCATTTTAGTCGCCCTCCTCTGGACACATTCCAGCTTGTCAATATCTCTCTTGAATTGTGGTGCCCAGAATTGGACACAATATTCCAGGTGTGGTCTAACCAAAGCAGAATAGAGGGGTAGCATTACTTCCCTAGATCTGGACACTATGCTCCTATTGATGCAGGCCAAAATCCCATTGGCTTCTTTTGACCACATCACATTGTTGGCTCATGTTTAACTTGTTGTCCACGAGGACTCCAAGATCTTTTTCACACGTACTGCTCTCGAGCCAGGCAGTGCCCCATTCTGTATCTTTGCATTTCGTTTTTCTGCCAAAGTGGAGTATCTTGCATTTGTCACTGTTGAACTTCATTTTGTTAGTTTTGGCCCATCTCTCTAATCTGTCAAGATCGTTTTGAATTCTGCTCCTGTCCTCTGGAGTATTGGCTCTCCCTCCCAATTTGGTGTCGTCTGCAAACTTGATGATCCTGCCTTCTAGCCCTTCATCTAAGTCATTAATAAAGATGTTGAACAGGACCGGGCCCAGGACGGAACCCTGCTTGTGGCACTCCGCTCGTCACTTCTTTCCAGGATGAAGAGGAAGCATTGGGGAGAATCACCCTCTGGGTTCGTCCATTTAACCAATTCCAGATCCACCTCACCGTAGTTTTGCCTAGCCCACATTGGACTAGTTTCCTTGCCAGAAGGTCATGGGGGACCTTGTCGAAGGCCTTACTGAAATCCAGGTACGCTACATCCACGGCATTCCCCGCATCTACCCAGTTACCTTTCTAAGGAGAAAGTTACCCTGATAACTTTCTCCTTGGAAAGCAAGGAGAAAGTTATCAGGAGACTGAAATTCTGTAATTATCTCTAGCGAAAGAAAACTTGAATGTTTTTGTATTAAAGAGAGGAAGGAAAAACAAATCAATGAAGGTACAAGACTGCATTTTGCTTCTTTTTATTCTGAACTAGACCATCCATATCTTTGCTGTTGAGCGCCTTCAAGTCATTTCCAACTTATCACAGTGTTTTCTTCGAAAAAATTGTTTAAAGGTGCTGGTGTTTCTGGTTTGGAAGTGTTATTCCTGTTTAATTGTGTGATACTTACTTTGTTTTTGTGGCTGCCACAAACTATGTTGAATTAGTTGAGACCCAATGAGATATTTATTGAAAAACTATAACAAGATGTGTTGCAGGATGTTCTGCAAAAACAATATTTTTTTTGCAGTTTAATAAATGTTTCTTATGTTTTTATAATAGAACCAATTAGGAATTGACTTTTATAACCCAGGCACAAAAATTGTGTTACATAGTCTATTGTCGAAGGCCTTCATGGCCAGAATCACTGGGTTGTTGTAGGTTTTTCAGGCTGTATGGCCATGTTCTAGAAGCATTCTCTCCTGACATTTGGCCTGCATCTGTGGCAGGTATCCATCCTCAGTGATTGTGAGGTCTCAAAACTTCCAAGGATGCCTGCCCCAGATGCAGGCTGTATGGCCATGTTCTAGAAGCATTCTCTCCTGACATTTTTCCTGCATCTGTGGCAGGTATCCATCCTCAATGGTTGTGAGGTCTCAAAACTTCCAAGGATGCCTGCCACAGATGCAGGCTGTATGGCCATGTTCTAGAAGCATTCTCTCCTGACATTTTGCCTGCATCTGTGGCAGGTATCCATCCTCAATGGTTGTGAGGTCTCAAAACTTCCAAGGATGCCTGCCACAGATGCAGGCTGTATGGCCATGTTCTAGAAGCATTCTCTCCTGACATTTTGCCTGCATCTGTGGCAGGTATCCATCCTCAATGGTTGTGAGGTCTCAAAACTTCCAAGGATGCCTGCCACAGATGCAGGCTGTATGGCCATGTTCTAGAAGCATTCTCTCCTGACATTTTGCCTGCATCTGTGGCAGGTATCCATCCTCAATGGTTGTGAGGTCTCAAAACTTCCAAGGATGCCTGCCACAGATGCAGGCTGTATGGCCATGTTCTAGAAGCATTCTCTCCTGACATTTTGCCTGCATCTGTGGCAGGTATCCATCCTCAATGGTTGTGAGGTCTCAAAACTTCCAAGGATGCCTGCCACAGATGCAGGCTGTATGGCCATGTTCTAGAAGCATTCTCTCCTGACATTTTGCCTGAATCTGTGGCAGGCATCCATCCTCAGTGGTTGTGAGGTCTCAAAACTTCCAAGGATGCCTGCCACAGATGCAGGCTGTATGGCCATTTTATAGAAGCATTCTCTCCTGACATTTTGCCTGCATCTTTGGCAGGCATCCATCCTCAATGGTTGTGAGGTCTCAAAACTTCCAAGGATGCCTGCCACAGATGCAGGCTGTATGGCCATGTTCTAGAAGCATTCTCTCCTGACATTTTGCCTGCATCTGTGGCAGGCATCCATCCTCAGTGGTTGTGAGGTCTGTTTCTAGAACATAGCAATACAGCCCGAAAAACCTACAACAACTACGTTACATAGTGTTATCCAAGATATTAGTGGTGCTCTGCTTGATTGGGATTTTGCATTTTCTTTCTCACGATGACCTTTCTCTTCCCAGATTTATTATTACGAAGTACAATGGAAAATATTACACTTCTTAAAGCACCCCAATTACTCTTTGCTCTTTTCTCTTCCGTGCATATGGATAAATTACCCAGGTAACCTCCGTGGGTGGATTACGGGATGTTAACAGCAGCTGCTATTCTCTACGACTTGGTCTCATATCATGGCTGAGCCTGACGGACAACTCAAGCAAACTGGGAGGTGGTCAATATTCTGAAAATAAACCGTTGTTTCCAGGGAACCTTGTACATAGCTGTCCTTGCAGTGTTGGTTAAACTGGAGAGCTTCGAGCCAGCTGCTCTTCACATGAAAGGTGGCATGGAAAAACAAACAGATACCACGCAAAGCAGGCATTCAACCCTGAACATGCTGAGATTCGAGGTGTTTCTTGCTCTTTGCAAAGTAAATGCTCGCCTGTTGAAACAGATAGTTTTGTTGCAGATAGAATGATCCACAAAAGCAGGAAGAATCAAATTAATGCATACAACTTCAGTGTGGAATCGTGACTTTCAGACAACCCCATTACTGGGGAACTAAAATGCATTAAAATATAGAGTGGTTATGGGAAGCCAAACATTGTCAGAATGTGGCCATGATGAGGTATCGGGAAATATAGATATTTACACATATGTGGGTCAGAATGGTCTCAAGAAGTGAGTGAAGACACTGCAATTCCCATCATTCATAGTCCAAAGTCTTCCAAACCACACCAGGATGTAGAGTGGGTTATGCAGTCTCTGTGTACCAAGTTCGGTCTTGATTCGTCATTGGTGGGGGTCACAGTGCTCTCAGGAAGTGTGTGAAGGTACTGGAAGTCCCATCATCCATGGTCTATCCTCCTTCAAATCACAACAGGATGTAGAGTGGGTCATGGTGGCTCTGTGTGCCAAGTTTGGCCTTGATCAGTCATTTGATGAAGGTCGATGTGGTCTCAGGAAGTGAGTGATGGCACTGAAAGTCCCATCATCCATGGTCCATCCTCCTTCAAACCACAACAGGATGTAGAGTGAGTCATGGTGGCACTGTGTGCCAAGTTTGGTCTTGATCAGTCATTTGATGAAGGTCGATGTGGTCTCAGGAATTGTGTGAAGGTACTGGAAGTCCCATCAACCATGGTCCATCCGCCTTCAAACCACAACAGGATGTAGAGTGAGTCA